CCAATGTCCACCCTCATCATTCTCTGGGGATCTTGCTGCTCCCCTCCCCTGCTATTCCGCTGCACTTCCCCAGTGCTTTGCCTCAGTGTGGCGGGATCAGATCGGGTGCAATTCCCACACCGTGTCACTGGTGTTGTCCCTGGCAAGGCCATGGGTCAGTGAGGGGCATCATGTCTCATAGTGGGGCTGGCCACGTGGTCTGCTCTGTGGACTGCCTGCTCTATTTGAGGTCATCGTCCTCAAGGCCTGGTGGGTGAGGATGTGCTCCAGTCTCTCAAAAGGAGGCCACTTTTTGCGAATGCCTTCAAGCTTATCCCCAAAAGGGTGTGGCTGGTTGGTGAAAACCCCCAGTGGGGCTTCTGGGGAGAAGTCTGGAAATCTGGTTTCTATTTGCTTGGAGGAACCAGTAGTTGATGTCTGGGAAGGCCTGTGTGTGTTTCAGAGAGGGAGCTGCTTATGATTTCAAGACCTGAATGTTCTGAAAGCAGGTCCCCAGTCTTATATTGCCTTTGACTAGTCGATGAGATCTTGAGAATTTTCACCACCCAGGAAATTTCTGCAAAGGGTACAGGCTATGAAGTCCTAGAGATGGCTTAAGGTCACCTTGGGTAGGAATGGATAGTACAGGGAAAGATGTGGGCTTGTATGGGCTGCTCATGATCACTTTGGGTCCAGCTCAGTGAAATGACAATGGAATCTAATCAACTTGAATGCACTCCTGAAGGTTCAGTTCATTTAAGTTGCATCTGATTTTAGATGCCAAAGACATTTTAGTTGCTAGCACAAATCAGAAGGTCACTTTCCTACCAGAGGGAGTAGAGCATATTTTGTCCTTTGGAACCGGGGTCCTTTTCTTGCCTGCCCTACTAGAACAAGGCACATGAAGGAAAAGTGCTCATCCTAGAACTTTTCCATTTAAACACACATACACACACACACACACACACAAACACACGCACGCACACACACCAACAACCCATGTAAAAGAGCACTCTTTAATGAAATCGGTCCTGTGCAATGCAGTATCTACAAGATTGGTTATCTGTGACGTTCTCTGTGATCAAGGATTCATGGCCTCACATACAGGGAGGACTGGGATGCATTTCCATGTCATTGAAGGGGTAGCGCTGTGAGAGCTGATTCTCATTGGCAAATTGTCTAATCATGTCCAAGGACTTTCCATGGCCGAATGAAAGGTGAGTGATCAGAGCTGAGTGGACCCCCAAGAAGGAGCAGGAATAGGGCATTGCTGAGTGGTGTGATGGGGCCCATGAGGCCTAGAAGAGACGTCTAAAAGCCTTGCGATGAGGCCCATAGAGGGTCCTGGGACAGTTCTGAGGTCCAGAGCCCAGCCAGGGTTGCAGCGATCTGAGTGCGGATGAGTGCCAAGATCCAAAGACCTGAAGAAAGGAGACCAAGTCATCTGACACAGGGGGTCAGCTTGAGTTTAACCAGAAAGGTGAGTGGCTACTGTGGGAATCAATTTGTCCACAGTTTACTTGGAGGAAGAGGCTGTTGTCTGCATTAGACTGTGAGGAAGAAGGGCTGAAACTAGGCACCCAGTATTACAGACACCCTGAGGAGGGCTGGTCTTCAGGCACAGCAGAGTCCTCCCCTTGTTCATGGGGACAGTCTATGCCCTCTGCTCCTGCTACGGCAGTGGCGCAAATGGATCCAAGTTCAATGTCCACTGAGTAGGCGGTACTTCCCAGGGAGGGCAGGAGCCACTGCACATCAAGGGGGAACAAGAGCTCCTCGGGTCCTGTAAAGGTGTGCTCAGGGACCACCACGACATTCAGGAGGTTGAGATGGACCTGCACGATTGTCTGTGGGGCCAGACCAGCACTTCATATCCCAGGCAGAGGTGGAGCTCCTGATCAGCTTCCAAGAACACAACTACGGTCCTTGGACTGTGACCCTGCTCAACCTGTGGAGAAAAGGTTCTGAGTAGTGTGTCTCCAAATGCCAGGGATAGGCCCCAGGGGCAGTGAGAAGGATGTAGCTTGGTAGGAGAACTTTCTCCTCAACACTGCAGTTACCTACACATGCCCAGATGTTACCCTCATGGTGTCATGGATCCATGGAAGGGCTCTGCCCAGAACGCCCTTGGGGCTTTTAGCTGGCACAACACAGTCTGTCCCTCCTACTTCTGTAGGGGAAAAGGAGCTTACCTGATGTAGTTCCAGGGCCACCTGAGACTGTGAGTGGCAAGGTGGCTCCCCGGTGCCTGCTGCTGCATCTGAGGAGGGAGCAGAGGGGAGGGGTCAGGCTCTTCATAATGGAAGTGTCCCTGGAGGCTGAGGGCTTGAGGCAGTGGCCTGAGGAAAGCCAGAGCCAGCACAGAGCACATGGAAGAGCACACTGCCCACACAGAACCAAGCATGCAGCCCACCAGGTTCCCAAGGGAGTTGCTTCCGAAGCATTGGCTTACCTGAGCTGGGACCATGATCCACTCTCGGCAGTTTGTGGGCTTGAGTTGGGCTGCTGCTTGAGTTGCAAAAAGAAAAGAGTCTCAGG